AACAGCTATGCCGTGCGGAAAATCAATGTAATTTTTGCTGTAAGAGAGGGAGACCCAAGCATAAACAACTATCTCTTTTCACTAAGATGGGTCTGAGTTAGGGATCCGCTCCAAGCTTTAGATCTTTCCTTGCAGAAAAGCTGTGTGTCGTCCCGGCGATTTGTCAGAATGAATCTTTCCGAAATGAATAATGCTTCATAGTCGAGTCCTGGTAGAACACTCAGGTACAGTGGTATCTTGGGATTAAGAACTTAAATTCGCTCTGGCGGTCATTCTTAATCGAAAACTGTTTCTTAACCTGAAGCCCACTTTGCTAATGGGGCCTCCCACTGCTGCGCGCCGCTGCTGCACGATTTCTGTTCTTTCCTGAGCAAGTTCTTAACCTGAGGTACTATTTCTGGGTTTAGCGGAGTCCCTGTAACCTGAAGCGTTCTGTAACCCGAGGTACCCTGTACATGTTGAAAAGGTTTCCAGAGGTCTTGGTGAACACTAGCTTAACATGAGTCAATAGAGTGATGCAACAACAAAGAGGCTCATGCTATTCTGGCTGCATCAACAGAAGTTGATAAGGGAAGTTGATAGTCCCTGTCTCTTTTCTGCCCTGGTCAGATCCACCTGGAGTCCTGTGTCCAACCCCTCAATGCAGGACTCTCAACCAAAGCATCCATGACAGATGGCCATCCCCACAAAAACCCTCAACTGTTTTTTCAAGGAGACCAGACCTTGCTGGAAGTGTCTTAGGTTCTCCTCTCTGTACATAGGGAAACGACCCCGCATGGAGCACACTGGATTGTGGTCCATGGATTCTGGAAGATGTAAAATTGGTTAATCAAATGGTGGTAGACTTAGATCTACACACACTGGACCTGGTAGCATCCTGACGTATTAAGAACGTTATGTATATTAGGTGGTTTCTGAGTTCTTTCCTCTGCATCTGCACTGGGGTATTAAGAAAGCTCAGATCAGGTTCGCCAAACCTGGTGCCCTCCAATGTTTTGGACTATAACTCCTAATTTCCTACCGTTAGCTGCAGGGGTTGATGGGCAGTTAGACCCTAAAACTTTCTGGGGCATGGGATTATAGAAGGCAGGGTTTGGCTGATCTGGCGGATCTGTGTTTACTGGGCCTAGTGCCTCGTGGCGCGAGTATAGCGTCCTGCTAAGTCTTCATCAAATTTAACTATAGAACACTGTTCAGTGACCTCTAGCATCTCCTAGATGCCCACCTGATGATGGTACAACCCCTTCAAGTACAGTGGTACCTCGGATTACGTACTTTAATTCGTTCCGGAGCTCCGTTCTTACCCTGAAATGTTCTTAACCCTGAAGCATCACTTTAGCTAATGGGGCCTCGCTGCTGCATGCGCCGGAGCACGATTTCGTTCTTCATCCTGAAGCAAAGTTCTTAACCCGAGGTAATTTTCTGGGTTGCGGAGTTTCTGTAAGCTGAAGTGGTATGTACCGAGGTACCACTGTACAGACTGTCCTTGCAAGAACACATTCACTAATGACTATCTTTAGCCTCTGTCCCAATTAAAACACTGGTGTAGAGATACTTGCTACGTTCCTCTGATCAGGCGCTAAATATTAAAAGGTGACAAAATGCAAATTCAGAAGTGTCAAGAAATTGTATTTCTAAGACCTACATACAGGCCGATTTTGGATTTTCAGCAGATCAAAAACCACAATCCCCTCAACAGACTTCGGGAAATCTTCCTTGGCTACATACCTTAGTAAATGTATTTCTGCATTATACCATCTGCAAGTTCTCTCGTCTCCCTGGTATTTTAGGTTTTTTAGAGGTGTGTCAATACTGAATGCTCTTTTGCTTTCTGAACACTCCAGAATACAATCATCTTGCTGTGGGAAAACTATGGACCAAAGGTTCTGTTCACATGCAAAATCTTTCTATTTTCTTGCGCGAGTGATGCTTGATTAGCTTTTGGTTGGCCTATTTTGTTTCTTTTGTCTATGAATCCAGGCATAGTATTTTACACTACTATCTTGGTCACTGGAGAACACACACTTCCCCAAGTGGTCAAAATCTTATGGGTGTTGACATCAGTGCTTAGGCAGCAGAAATTTCATTGGTCCTAACACAGGAACAGAGATGCTATGCAGAACTGAGGCAAGTAGAAAATTAGACTTTCTGTGGAGAAAATGATACCATATGACACCTAGAGCATTTATTTATGCAACAACTTAAATATGATATGTTACATTAAAAGTGTACACTGTTTATGCTGAACACTTGCCAGGGGAAAAAATCATATTGATCAAGCTCTAAATTAAACATTCAAAAATGAGCTTTGACAGGAAGACAAAAACTGTAAAACAGACTTACTTTCAATCAGCACAAATGCTTAAAATTTAGAGAGCAATCCTTAACATTCCAACATTCCTTACAAAGCTGCGCAAAGTCAACTATTTTTTAAAAAATGATATTTAATCATCAATAATAAAAACTCTGGGACAAACATTTAAAAACAATGCTGGCTTGCCTTACTCTCATTAAATTTAAGATATTCCAACAGAACCACAGGAGTAACCCACTTAAAGTGATGTTTTTAAAACAACCAACAATATGTACATTTATTGCAAATTATATTAAAACTAAAATGGAGAGGGAAAATTAAAAAAAGATGAAATGTCTACTTGCAAATCAATCAATGATTAGTCTCCCACTCAGATAAAGTCAGAAAGCAACATGTAATTGTCACTATGTGACTTTTCATAGCAGGAACCAAATCTGTACATCTTATTAGCTGGAAAGATTATACATAGGAGTCTCCAAAGAAAGCAGATGAGAAATTCAGGTATTTTCCTTGTGTCTTGGATTAAAATTCTTTCAGTAAGCTTCTATTTTTCTTGCAAAAGGGTGGGCAATACTGATTCTAGCTCTGAATTTTTTAAAGGATCTCATTCTGACTTTCTTTTAAAAAATGCAGCATGAAAATTTATGGAGTAAAACATTTTAACTCCAGATATGCAGAAACTGGAATCAGTGTTAAGCAATTTGCTTAATTATTGACTTTTCATAAAAAAAGTCTCTGGAAAAGAAGTACAGATGCTTTGAGCCTCTCTCAAGAGTTTTCAGCAGAATAATGTCATCGTAAAGGGAAGCAGATTTCCTTCTGTTCTCAGAGCTGAAAGCGGTGTGATCTGAGTATTTTCAGTTCCTTATACAGGAATTCTTGGTTTTTGCAGAAGCTTGGAGCATGCCGTCATTTTGGCCCTCCTTTTCCTCCCCTTGCAAGGAAGTTTTTTTTACCTTGAAGAAAAGAAGAAAGTTTAGAAATGAACTTACTGGGAAAACGTTCAGAGCGAAGTGAACTTTCCCCTCTGAAGTGCACCTTTGATTTCTTTTTTTTAATCAATTCTTTAAATTCCTTAATTTTTATTTTTATTAAATTTATATCCCATCTTTGTTGCATCTTTGGAACCCAACATACATGGGTACATGGCATACAGTATCTAGCCTGGCCACACACTTACCTGAAAATAACCACTGGAACACATTACCTGAAATTTTGTTCTAGGATTGCATTGTCAATTGTGTTTTGTATCAACATCATCTTTGATGTAGGTGATAAAGTCGTCGTCGAATTCCACTGAGGACAATATTTGTTGCATTTATAGGAGGATGATAATCTTTTTATGAATTAATTTGGGGGGGGGGAGACATCTTTTAAATTTAAAGCAACAACAGTTTATTCCACTGCAATATAGTAAGAGCATCAATAAGACTGCTCCTAGCACGTGTTCCCAACAGTGTTCCGCGGCACACTAGTGTGCGCGAGACGTGCCTGGTGTTGCCGCGAGATGTTGCCTGGAGGGAGGCGGGCGAGTCGGGCGGCGAGAGGCGGGGCGGCGACGGCGCGGAGAGGCCGCCCAGCGCGGGGCTCTCGCCGTCTGCCTGCCTGGCTGCCTGCGTGGCGCTGACGTCACAGGGCTGTAACGGCCCCACATAGGCACAAACGGGGCGGCGAGCGAGCTGCGCTCCCACCCATCGCCGCTCGCTTCGGCCGGCCTACTGGGCTGTCGCAGCGGAAGGCCTGCGCATTGCACGAGGTTTTCGCGCCTCGGGATTCCCTTCGGCGCCTTCCTCCTCCCGGGTCCTTGAGAGCACGGGAAGCGGCAGCGCGAGACCGGCGTTGAGCCTGGTAGGTGTTGCGCTTGCCAAGAGCAGTCATTTGGAAATGAAACTTGGCAAAGCAAGCAACCAGTTCAATCTGAGTACGTGTATGCTTAATATCCTGTATCTGAACCTGTTTCTGCCCCCTCCCCCACACATGGGTGCCATTTTCATCACACATGCAGCAGAGTAAGTTGACCAGAATAGTACCATTCAATGGCAGATGGAATGACGAGAGTGCTGAATGCTTTCCCATGTAGAACAGTCCCTGCAAATAAAAACCTGCATATTTGGAAGAGGGGATGCTAGCCTAACATCTACCTTCTATGCTGTTACTATTTTTTTTTTTTTTTTACATAAGTAAAAAGTGACCCTCCCATCTGGCATGGTGGTGTGCCTCGAGATTTTTTTCATGAACAAGTGTGCCTTTGCCAAAAAGGTGAGAACAGTGACCTTTGCTCAGAGAAGAAGTAATGCTCGAAACTGACAGGCAGGTGCAAAACTTGTCGAAAGAAGGAAGAATGATAGATATACAGTTCACGACCTCCCAGTTTTTGACTTTCGTTACCTAACTTCCACTAAATTTTTAACGTGCAGAAGTACTGGTGATCTACATCCATGTCAGCGACATTTCTACAAGGACTGACCAGCACCACCTCCTCCCAGCACCCATTATACAAACATAGCCCTGTATATCTCCCTGCTGCACCTTCAGGAAGCCATCTCTTGTTAGTTCTGTCTCCTCAGTGTCTTCCTGGCTGCCTGTATCCTCAGTGTCACAAAGCTTAAAAAGATCCCATTTCACTTGGAGAATTCCAGGACTTGTTTCTATCTCGAACACTGACTTTTCTCACCATCCTTGGTTACCCTAGCCACCACCTGTACATCCACTTGAGGTCCACTCCTTTCTCGTGAAAACACTTCTGTGCTTTATTCCCTCTGCCACCCTTGAGCACTCGGAATTCCATTGCGAATTGTGGGTCTGTGCCATGCTTGCCTGTCATAGTCAGGTCACCCTTTCCCAACAGAAAAGCGCCTAGCACCTACGGAGTCATAGTATTTAACCTTTCAGGCAGGTTGCACCTATATAATATCCCTGGTCTCGCTCTTGCGGGTCTGACATGACCTTGCCTCATGGAGCTTCCCTATACTCCCGTGTTCCAGCTCTACTGTAACCTCTCCTTCACACATGCTGATATACGCGCGTAACTAGCTCCTCAGCGTGTATGCTACAAGTTACCTGGTACCCGTCTGGTCTCTAATCCCGCTAATATCGTCGTGTACCCGTCCGTCACACAATTTTTCCACCCAGTATCTACTCTTGGTGCGGCGTCCAGCTTCCTATGCGTTGATTCCCTCGCAGCAAATCTGCTCGCCGACGGACATCTCGGTCTAGTACCCTGCATTCACTTCACATACTCATAGAACTAATAATACTGTTATACCTCAGTCATACTACCTCTCTTCATTATCTGCCGTACCGGGTCTTCCTTCCCTCCTCCTGACGCATATTTAGATTTTCTCTCTTGACGCGTATTGTCGACCGCTCTGTCCTGCGGTACATCTCAGGCAACCAGTCCCTCCTACCGCTTTATAAGCCGTCTTAGCCTTTGACTAATTCAATCATTATAGTTCGGACCACCCAATTAATATCTCTGCCTCTATCACCTCTACCTCCTCCGCACGTCACGCTCGCGACCTCCTGATCGCTCATAGTCCAACCGCCGCGCAGCTACACCATTATCCTGATGTGCCTAGTGCGCACTTCTCCGCTTCTCTTAATTGCTCTTTCCCACCATGGTAAACATTGATGTATCAGACTGAGCCATTCTCTATAGACCCCATTGCCTCATGACCATACCATCTCTCCTGACTGCGCCTCCTTTCGTCCTCCCGCCACAACCGCATTTATTCGCCTCCAAGCCAGATGTTTACACTCATTGAACAGATCTCGGGTTACGACACTGCACACCTCTCCTGTATCATGTTTGCCTTCTCTATCCCTCGTTATTGTGTTGGACTCCTGGTCTGGTACTCGGTTTTCACAGAAACAGTCGCCTTCTGTGTCTCTCCTTGCTGTCTTTGGAAATCTGCATCAATTCGCTCTGGTTCTAGGCTCTTTCTCCTATCGGAGCTTAGTCATTTTTGTTGCATGGAGCTTCTCTTAACCCCTTTTGAATAGCGGGCCACGACGCCGGCGGTCTAGCTACAGCCGCCCCCGACATAACAATGGACTTTACAGATTGTGAATTAGGGTTTTCTATACTGCTTTAGACATTATCACTATCTGGAACAATATATACTATTAAATACAGGCAACACCTGATTTGCATGGGGGTTAAATTCCTGGCCCCCGAGCATGGGTTACTCCCCCTTTTCTGGCCACTTCTGGGTTGTGGCGATGCACGTGTACACAATCATGCATGCATTGAACAAGCGTAAAATGGTTGTTGCCTGTATACTTCAGCTGGTTTTAACTATGCCAGAGATACGGATTTCCCCCTACCAGTATATACATCTAAAAGGATGTCTAATCAAATTCCTTACATAAAAGAATTATCCCCTCTGTTTTCGCTAAGATCTCAAAGAACTAATTTAGGCATGTCCAAGGACAGGCCTTCCCAATTTGTGACCCAACAAACTCAAGACAATCTAGTAGTCATGTACAACATTGACTGGCCATAAGTTGGTGGTGGGATCATAAGTTGGGCAGGCCTACCCAAGAGCCTGCATATATTTGGTACAATTTTTGAGCACCAGATCCGTATGCCATCTCACTGATTGCTTCTGAAACTCCTCCCAGTCTAAGAAATAGGCTGTGCAGCCAGCCATTATCTGTGGCCACCAACCCTGACCATGTCCCTTCCCAGGAATCTTCTAACATATGTAGAAGATGGGAGTGGGGAGAAGGTAGGATCAGGACTTGATACTACCTCCAGAGAGACAGCTGCAAGAGATTCAGGCTGCTCCTGACTATATGAGGAAGCTGGTCCCTCTCATTTGGATAGACATCCAGTAACTGCCTTTGTGAGCCATTGAAGGGGGCTGAAACAAGCCCCCATGGTTCGGGCAACAAAGTCATCGGACTGTTGTTCAGAAGGCTATGGATTCCTGGGCAGCCTTCTTTTCATACTGATGCTGATGCTTTTGACCAGGGGAATGGTCAGTAGCCAATAGCAAACACCACCCTAGGAAGGCCATATATGAATAAGTAGGTATCTCTACTCCTGCTAACTCACCAGGTCAACAGCTCGTTTTAAAAACAATTTTATAATTGACCGCGGGTTGAAGGACCAGTAAGACTGGTTAGGGGCACACAAATTCTGACTGGGCACCATGCTTGTGAACCATCTCGACCGGCCCAAGTCTTCCCGTGTGTGCAGAGACCTTGGGGATGCCACAGTTCTTATAACACCACATTGCCTTGTCATGATTCCTGATCCCAGTAAAAACTATCCCTAACACAAATCCTAGCCCCACACCACTTCTAGAAATCCCAATCCTACCCTGCTGTGCTGCCATTATCCCACAGCAACATGCACACACAGAGGGTAACAGGGAGGAGGTGAATAAACAAAATCCCTAGCTAGGGGATTTCTGAAACCATTTACACTGGCTTTCCCCACAGATTCTGATGTGAACCAAGCCACACGGAAAAGACTAACTCACGCTCCCAACTATGAACAACTTTCTCCCATCATGCACTTCAACTGCTTACTCTGACATGTCTATGCCTTGCCTTGTGCAAAGTAAACAACAGCCGAGATGCATAATACATAAGAAAAATCTACCAAAGCCAATTTTGCTGTTTACACATGGATGGGGATGTCAAGGATTATTTTTTACCTGCCTCTCAACTTGCGTTGAAGAAAGCCATCAAATTGCATAACGGCAGGTGAGTACATAGGGGACTAGAGTGAACCTTTAGGGTGCCAGTTGCCCATTCTTTTTTTAAAAAAATGTGTTTTGATTTTTCTTATAAAGCATACAGGATAAAAATAACGATACCTAACATTAGGGAAAACAAACCAGCTGATTCCACCAATAAGGGAAATAATAGTTCGTCTGTAGTAATATTACAGAATGTCTCTGTTTGATTTGTACTATTCAGCCCAGAGTTCCTGACCACAGTTGGCCATGTGTATCCAGAGGACAAACAAGCAATACTATGTTGCCTATTCTTAACAAGTAGGGACAGGAGTAGCTCGTATGTTTGACTGTCTGGATCAGGGGTCAGCAAACTTTTTCAGCAGGGGGCCAGTCCACTGCCCCTCAGACCTTGTGGGGGGACAGACTATATTTGGGTGTGTGTGTGTGTGAATTCCTATGCCCCACAAATAACCCAGAGATGCATTTTAAATAAAAGCACACATTCTACTCATATAAAAACACCAGGCAGGCCCCACAAATAACCCAGAGATGCATTTTAAATAAAAGCACACATTCTACTCATATAAAAACACACTGATTCCCGGACTGTCCACAGGCTGGATGTAGGAGGCGATTGGGCTGGATCCGGCCCCTGGGCCTTAGTTTGCCTACCCATGGTCTGGATTTTGGCAAGATCAGATCTCCAAGAGCTGGCCACTCTGCCGACTTATCAGCAGCCACTGCTGCTCTGAATATTCCATGTCAGCTGGCTTTTTAAAATGGAGAGTCTTTTGCTAATTGGTCTTCCACACTCCTTGACCCTGATGTTCATCTGCATTTGCATGGGGGGGGAGGATCTTATGAGGGATGTCTTTTTAACCATGCACACATATCTCTGTGTTAAAGAAAACCTGTGTTATGCAAATGAATTAGCTGCATTTTTTGAAAACATGTATTGCTCAGCAATTGGATTTTGTGTGTGGTGGGGAAGGACTAAGGCTAAGTAAAGAGGAATTAAAGGGCACAAATAAACAAGAGACATGTGACGAGGGAGGAAAGAGTGCGGGGAGCAGTGTGCAGGAAAGTGCAAAAGAAGTTCCGTGGAGATGGTTAGGATTTACTGTGATGTCACTTGGCATTTCTGGCAAATTATAGCCAGTTCAGGACAACTTCCCAGAGAAGAAAGCAGTGTATTTTGTGTTTACCTTTGTAGATCAATCTGTCTCTGTGCTGGTACTGCTTTTTTCGATGCATCTTGCTGTTTTGGTGCTTTGGCATTGCTTGCCTCTAAACTCCCTGGACCTTCCTGGCTGGGTGCTGCCCTTTTCCGCCCCCTACCAGATGGTTTACTTGTTTCAGCATTTTTTTGCCATGGTGCCCTGAGATTCAGACTTGGGAGGACGCCCTCTCCTCGGCTTGGGAGGGGCAGGCTGGCCCGATTCATCTGTTTTTTTCTCTTCTGACTTTTGATGAATATTTTCTGCTCCGGCGGCTGTTGCAGTTCTTTTCTTTCCACGCTCAGTGCTAACATTTCCTTGCGTTGCCTGATCAGAGTTTATCTCCTAGAGGGGGAGAAATAAGGCTTAGTTTGTTGTCAACTGAATCCCTGACAGTCAGGTGGCAGTTATATCTGCTTCAAAACCCTGCAAGCATTTTAGAAAGAAGTTTCCAAGGGAAGCTACAGCAAACCTTTCAAGTACCACAAAATAATCGGTCCAAGGGGACATACTGTTGCAATGGGGAATTCTCATTCCCAAAAATATAAAGCAGCATTTGGGAAACTCGTTATAGAAATACAACCAGCTTTGAAGTATTATTTCTCAATGTCGTGTCTACTGGCTTAGGTTTTCTAACTTAAATTAAGATCCAACTTAAAACATTATGGGCATGAAACAAACTATCAGATGATGGCATGACAAGTCCTTGCATAATATTATTTAATGTGCTTTAAAAGTTCTCTCTGTACCACACTCAAGAGCAGCTCAACTGGAGCCAAAACATAGTACAACAACATTAAAGCAGGATATTTGAATAAATAAGGAAAATCTTGCTATCAACTGCTAAGCTGACTTCTTCCGCCTTGTTGGGAAACTGTTGACGTTCTCAATCTGGGATGTGTTTTCATGGAATGGCAAATAAAATGCAACAGTTATATTAAAATGTTAGTCACCAATTTCTGGATACATTTTTTAGTCGGATTACCTAAAAGTAGAACATGCTTAAAAAAATTCAACCATACCTTGTTCTTTACAGGTTCTATTTTTGCTGGGGTGACAGAAATAATTCTCACTGGATTTTCATCATTTTCACTGACACCAGTTTCTGATATGTCTGAGCTCTGCTCTCTGTTGGAAGAATTTTAAAAATCAATGTAAATTTGTTTTCTGTTAAATTATGGAAGGGAAAGAAATCTATTTCCCTTCTTTAAGCCTAATTGGTAAAAGAACTGATCAAGATTCCTTGTAAACTGGTTAATGCTAATGCAAAGGTTTTAATATGCCCCTGCCTGTGTGCTGGATTGTGATCCTGCCAGTGGCGTAGCGTGGGGGGTGCAGGGGGGCCGCCCGCACCGGGCACAACATCTGGGGGGGCGCGCTCGCCGCCTCCGGAGTCGCCGAAGAGCCTCGGGCGCAGGCTGTAGCAGAGCCCCATGTCTCGCGGAACTGACGAGCTGGCAGCGGCTCTCAGCGCTCCCTGCGGTCCCCACGCGTCAGGGCCCCTCCTCACAGCCCCGCCACCGCCGCTGCAGCTGCTGGGCCATGTTGCATTTTCCTCGCCTCTCTGCCCCTCCTCCTCCGGGCAAGCGGCGTCGTTTGGGCGGCAGTGCCAGCGGCAACTCGCCTCAGATCACCTGACACGGACCCGCCGCCGCCGCCGTGGCTACCTTACCGTAAATACCCCAGCCCAGGCAGCAGCAAGAAGAAGCTGGCAGCGGCGGCAGGTTAGGGGGCGCAAATTACTTGCCTTGCCCCGGGTGCTGACAACCCAGGCTACGCTGCTGGATCCTGCATTAACTTTTTAAATTCATTATCTTCTTAACTACAGCAATCCCCAGGGTTGAAAGGGGAAGATGTTATTTAAAAAACCATGCATTTAAAATAAATTCTACCCTGAAATACTTAATTTCAATGTTAATCCTAATATTTAAAAATCCACGTGAACATAGATATGCACTCAATCAGTTCTGTTGTTTGATATTTAGTTTTTACACAGTAATAACTGCTGATATATACTATTATTGTACTGTGTATTTTGGGTCTATGGACCACAATAAAGCTGTGTGTGTGAGTAAAAGAGTTAACAATTTGAGGAAAATGTGCAACTAGCAATGTGAACTTCATCCAAACCTCATTAGATATAATACTGCAACTACATAAAACATTCTAACAGGTAATACAATTGAAAGCAGATGGTGAGACCAAATATATAAATGTTCATTTCAAAATTCAAAATGGAGGTGAAGAAGTGATTGGCAGACTTAGTTCATTAAAGGACTTGGAATTCTAAGAATTTGATATTCCTTTATGACACGGAAAAGTTTGCAAACTCTGAATTTTAGAAAAATAAAATACATAAACTGAAAAATAGCAATTTTCCACATAATTAAGAGAAGTAAAGTACAATCCTATATTGAGAGAATCTTTTAACATAATATGTTTTTAAAATCTGAATTATATTGCTGAAAAGTCTTAGACCTTGATTTGTTTCCTGCAGGAGAGCTCAGTTCAGAGTTTACGCTATTATTGCTTCCAGTTTCTGATCCTGCGCTTCGGATATATGGTCTCCTTCCAGTTGCAGATAAAGGTTTATTTACAGCACCTAATACACCAGTTGGTTTGGGCTAAAATGAACAAGAGCAGGCTTATTTAATAAGTTTGAAATACATGCAAACACACAATTCACAATGTATATTTTTTAATTTTAATTTAATTTTTTTAAAAAACCTCTACAATATATAAAATGGCCCCTTGCATTTTGGTCTATAAGACATATTAATTGGATATCATTAAATAGCTGCAGCTACAACTAGCTCAGTGAAAATTCCTGAACTTTCTCCTACTTATAAATGTGATATAGCTCCAAGGTTATAGTGAAAGGCTTCATTTCCCCCACAACCTCAAGTTCACCACATGCCTAAATTATTGAGGTACAAATTGTCTCAGCATTGTTTCTCCTTACACTGAGTTAAAATGTACTCAGAGATTCAGCAGAAAGCATACATTTTTAAACCCTGTAGAATGAGAATCCCAAAGTCACAACCCATAATCAATACAAAATCCTTACACCCTTTACATAAAAATAAAAGTTCTTGTTTTATCTTTGTGAAGCTGACCCACAACCGACAAATTAGCTCTGAAATCAAAGGGGCTAAGGCGCATTAGGTGAACCTGTAAGTAATTTAACAGTGTTGTCCTCTGCACTCTGAAAAAGTCCTACAGAATTCAATGGGATTTAGACTCAAATAAATAGAGCCTAAATGGGTTGCACTGAGTTAGTGATGTATACAATTTTATCATTTCTCAGAAACTGAAAGGGTTCATTGTTTATACAACGTGTCAAATAAAAAAAAGTAGAAACAACACCTTTCCGGTTAAGAGAAGAACTCTCATCTCTTCTGAAATATAATTCCTTTCATTGCAAAAATCCTTTGGGGGGGAAGAGAAAAAGAGAAGTTATTTAGTATTTTCAGGATAGATTATGTAATTTGACAGGGAGCAGAGACTCTGAAATGCTTTCCAGTTTTCAAGAACAAGTGCTTCTAAATCAGAGGTGAGGAACGTTTGGTCCTCCAACTGATGCTGACGACAATTACCATCATCCTGGCCACTGTCCATGTTGGCTGGGGCTGATGGACATTGGAGTCCTAACATCTGGTGGACCAAATGTTCCCTACCCTTATTCAAAATAGCTCCTCCCCCAAGTAAACTTTGTTCATAAAACAGGACCGCAACCCAAGAAGTGTGAGACTTGTTTTATGAGCCCAGGGTCCTGGTGGGGTTACACAGTGAATTGCATTTCAAGCAGAGGAGCATTTAGAGGCCTTTTCCACTATGTTCCAACAGAGAGGAAAAAACCTGTCTTGTCCAGCAGGGTTTTGTTTTGTCATTCTAAGTTAAAACTGGTATCTTGGAAATAAAATTATCTGCGGAACCTCTGTTTTGCATTGTTATTCTATGGAACATTTTGGGGAGATATTCAAAGGTCATACTCAGAGCAGACTCACTAAAATAAATGGATTCAATGCGTCTATCCAAGGATGATTAAAACTGGATAACACCTTAATACAGTACGTATTGGTTTCAACTGCTGCTAGCCACCCTGAGGTGCATGTAATCACTATAATAACAGGATCTAAACTCCTCTATAAAAGCTAAATCAGAAAACTTGGCAGTAAGCTCAATGTTCAACAGTGGCTCACTAATGCAAGGTCCTAAAGCATATTTAAGGAATATGCACTAAGCTAAACAGTGTAAACTTTTGTCCCGTTAGGTAAAGGTAAAGGTACCCCTGCCCGTACGGGCCAGTCTTGACAGACTCTAGGGTTGTGCGCCCATCTCACTCAAGAGGCCGGGGGCCAGCGCTGTCCGGAGACACTTCCGGGTCACGTGGCCAGCGTGACATCGCGGCTCTGGCGAGCCAGAGCCGCACACGGAAACGCCGTTTACCTTCCCGCTAGTAAGCGGTCCCTATTTATCTACTTGCACCCGGAGGTGCTTTCGAACTGCTAGGTTGGCAGGCGCTGGGACCGAGCAACGGGAGCGCACCCCACCGCGGGGATTCGAACCGCCGACCTTTCGATCGGCAAGCCCTAGGCGCTGAGGCTTTTACCCACAACGCCACCCGCGTCCAAGTGCTACTGATTTTGCATATCATAGACACCTGTAGATTTAATTTCTTTAGCTTGGCACTTTCACTATAATCTAGTAATGGCAAATTCAATATTGCTGAATGTCCAAAGAATATGACCACAAATAAGTTTTAAGAGCAATTTTGTTTCACTGGAGAGGAAAAGAACATGGCAATAGTAAGATAATTATCTAAATAGGTAATTTATAAAATACAACCAAGAACAAAGTCCCCATATTCGAAGGTATGCTTAAGTAGAAGAGAACACAAAAAGATTTGTTTGTTCTATAAAATTACCTTTTCAGGTTGCGTAAAAAATTTGGTTGGCAATACAGGATCCTTTGGAGACTCTGCATTACATAAAGCACTTTTGCTGTTGATTACACACAGGGCCACATCACATACGGTATAGAGTTTCTGTGGGAGGGGGGAATTGTAAAAGGACTTTAGAAATCACTTTACAACTTAAAACAAATGGAACTATAACATATAGAAATCAGTATGCCAATTACATTGCAGACTTATTTTATGCTTTTTTAAAAAAATTGGAATCCCCATAGACATATTATTTCCCAGTGCAAATCCTGCCTAATTTTCTACACTATACTTTTGAACAAAATGAAGCAAGCTTTTTTCTAAATTTTACAAACACACAGGACTAAGGTTTAAGTAGCTTGCTGTAACAGCTAGTCCTACTCAGAGCAGAGCTACTGAAATTGAAGAATATGATGAAGAGGTTAGTTGAATACAATTCCTAGCTTCTTATTGTTTCAATAAATTAGTCCGCCCGTCCCCCACACGGTAAGATGGTGTTTTTTTAAAAAGGTTGTAACATAAATTGATTACAGCTAGTTATATTTGAGAAATGTGATATCTGTGATCCAATCCACACTTCCTGAACTAATGTGCAGATTGGCACATAATTATCCTTTGTATTTTGCACTCCTCCAAATTCTGTGGCAGCTCTTTGCTCAAAATACCCCTACCAAAATATATTAACAATGAGTATTTCAGGTAATGTATACTTAGAAATGAGTACATAGAGATGAAATGGTATTTTATAAGAAGATATGTAATGAAATATGAATTTTTCGTGTTGATTTTCAGATAAACGTGGAAGTGGGACAGGATGGACTTATGAATAAACATATTCAACAGTGACCTCACAGGCAGCAAAAGCTTCTTCCCAACTCTGTTAACCAGTGGCTAACCTTTACCCATAGCAAGGTAAGAAAATACTGAAACTTAGGTGGGAAATTCAGAGACTGCAATGTGAAGCCCCTAACAAGGCCTCCCTTTATGGCTTATGAGCAGGTTAGAGGGGAAAAGTCACTCCTCTCGTTTGATCCCAGATTCGGCCCATAACATTAGCCAATGTAGCTGATTTAGCACCTGTGCTGTGGCTGGACCATATCCTAGCCAGTGAAATAGATCAGCAAACTGCTGCCATATTAAGTTGGGGAGGAGAGAACTCTTATTTGTGCCAAGTGCTCAGAGAAGGGCCCCAAGTAAGAGGAGATCCAGGGCTTCCCCTTCTGTGGAATTTTTGTGGTGCTTGGCTTCTTTTGCAATCACAAAACAAACATTCAACGTGGCAAAGGAAGAAGAGGAGGAGGAGGAGGAGGAGGAGGAGGAACAAAGGAAACAAAAACAAGATTTTGCTTGCTTAAGGACAACTACATTCTGCTGGATTAACTCTTTTGCTCTGTAAAGATGAGATTGCTAACACAAAATGCTTACAACTAAAATTCTCTCTGGAGAGAAATGAGATTCTGGCTTATTGCTTGCTCTGAAGCATTCTGTCCATCTTGTTCAAAAACTGACTTCAAAACCAATCTCTTTCCACCACATTTCTTACTTCATTGGCTTTTGGCTCATCTGGAGACTGTCCATCCCGCGTAAGTCTGATACTTTCTGTCATCTTTTTCATGAAGGCATGGCTGTTGTTTTCATTTTTTGTCATTAAGACTTCCAGCATGAACCAAAGGCACCTAATGAAATCAAAACACCCCAATGCTAAGAGTTGCATGTAACACCACTAACAACATTCCCCAGAAAGAAAGCATACTTGAGTCTGAAAACACCTCCCTTCCAGCTGGAAATGCTATGTCCCGGTATCCCACAATGCATGATTTTAGCAATACAATAAACTAGAAATTTGACCATCCCTACCAACCCAAATTAGGGCAAAAGAAGGGAATTGCAAGCCACAGGAAGAAGTCCTTAGAAGTTCTACAAAGCTAGGAAAAGGAATGCGGGGGCAGGGTTTGAAGCTTTGGAACATATGGCCTGGAAGCTTAGTAAGTAGAATCCTCTCAAATTTGCAGAGCCTGGTAATTTGAAAACCAACCCCCCCTGCCCCCAAATTAACAACCATGAATATCCAAAAAGGGTAGCCATCATGGAAACCAGTCTCCATCCAGCAACAACAGTGTGCTCAAGCCTGCTGTCATATAATTTTTCAGGTGATAACACTTTCTTCAGAATGCATTGAGGACACATGATGCGGTTCTCTCTACTGTGGAAAACAGGCAGGTCTGGTCCAGTAAGCTGCCTGGATGGCAGACTGCCTTTGAATGAATGTTGTTAAGTGTTCCTGAGGAAATCCTAAATTTGTGTTGTGAACTGCCCTATGATCTTCGGATGAAGGGTGATATACAAATTTAACAAATAGTAACAATTGTGAAGTTGACAGTAAAAAATGGGCATTGTTCTCTTTGTTAGAACTGCGAAATGAAAGTTTGGGGGCTGTATCTATCCAACATCTAAATTAGCATTTTTCAAATATCCAATACAGAATGACACATACTCTTTGATATCACGAAGCTGATCAACATCTTGAGGTTTTGTAAAATCTGGATCATGGGCCAGCAAGTGAATCATGTATGGTACCACATATTCAGGCAGCAGGGATAGCAGCTTTTCTGGAATAAAATAATATAAACATGTTTGAAGCATAATGTAAAGACACATAGCCAACACCAGAGATTTTGCTATTTTGCTATTATGCAGGTAAGCAATATAGCTGTAACACATTTTACAAAAATATTGTGAAGCTAATTCAATTGTGTGATTATTGGAAGATTTAAGGAATGACCTCTCAGAGCATATATGAACACAACTACTATATTCTTCAACCACAACCAAAAAACAGAATTTGAAATAAAAATGCCACAAGATACAATTTTACTTGCAAGCAAATTTACTAACCATTGGCCATGGGGTTCTGTTTAATGTACTCTCGCCGTATACTTATATTTTTAAGTAAGCACTGTCTTGCATGTGCTCTCCTTTCTTTTACGGGGTCTTTGGCACACAATGCAAATATTGCCATGTACTCCAATGGGAGCAGTAATTTTACCAGTGCTTTATGCAGCTTCTGAGCAAATATCTGCCTCACCTGGTAACATTCATCCTGCAAGAGAGGAAAATAATAGGACAAATGCAACTGAGCGACTAAGCAAATCATATGGGTGTCAACAGAAACAATTCTGTGAAACAGTAAAATATGCTTGCAGACAGTGCAGTATCTGCAAAGTTTAAGGCAGAGCTTTCCAAACTTTTCATGTTGGTGACACTTTTTTAGACATGCCTCATTTCACAACACAGTAATTCAGGTTTACTAGCAAACTGGAGGTTAAACTAACCCCTTTCCAGTCCCGGGAGAAGTGCAAGGAGTGTTCACGTGACACACTCCAGCCGACACACTAATGTGTCATGACACACATTTTGGAAAGCTCTGGTTTAAGGAAAGAAAGACAGGTAATCTTAGACTAAACAGTAGCTTTATGATAGGGAATGTGCCCTACCTTAATTAACTCTTCCTCTCACAGCTCTTCAAAGACAATTACTTACGTTAATGACCAATGCACAGAGTTGGAATTGCTCTGGGGTAATAATTTCGTGATAACAGGGCTCCTGTGCAAGCTTCATTATGGCACTGCCGGCAGCCAGACGTAGACGGGACATATCAGATTTGCTGCATACAAGAGAAGACAATCATCTCTGTCTCTCAGAAGACAACCTTTTGTCTAAAGATGCATAAGCAGTATGAAATTTCTAGAATTTCACGGAAATGTCATGACTTCTAGCTGAGTAACTAACTTCCTGGTCACCATGCTGTAAACATTACCATGTAAATTTTACACACGCTGCAACATAGATGAGAAAACTCATCCCAAAACACACTGTGAGCTGCCCACAAAAATAAATAAGTATATAAATAAAGGACCTACCCATGTGATGCTGACACAAAACCCCTGCACAAACACTATGCAATAGAACCAAAGATCATTACCCCCCCCAAGCTCTCTCTCTTCCCCCAACTGCACAATGCATAGGACAAGTGACTCATCCAGAATGTAAACGAAATGTGAAAAATACTCCATGAATTTAAAGTGGAAACACTATATGTACATTTATTTGTCTGTCTGGAACACTAGAAAATGTTAAAAACAAACAAACAAACAAACAAAATACCGTATTTTTCGCCCTATAGGACGCACCGTCCCATAAGGCGGAACCTAGTTTTTTGGGGGGGAAATAAAGGGGGGAAAATATTTCCTTCCCAGGCGCGGGGCTGGGGCGGGGGAAGCCCGAGCTTCCCCTGACCCCAGCCCCCAAACAGGCAGCTCTCTGCAAGCCGTGGGAGCCCAGCGCTGGCTCCCGCTGCTTGCGGAGAGGTCCGCGAAGCCTGGACGCGCAGAGCTCAGCGTGCGCAGGCTTCAGCATGCAGGCAACTCTCCGCAAACAGCGGGAGCCCAGCGCTGGGCTCCCGCTGCTTGCGGAGAGGTGCGCGAAGCCTGGAGAGCGAGAGGGGTTGGTGCGCACCGACCCCTCTCACTCCCCCGGCTTCAGCGAAAGCCTGCATTCGCCCCATAGGATGCACACACATTTCCCCTTCATTTTTGGAGGGGAAAGTGCGTCCTATAGGGCGAAAAATGCGGTAACTGTTTACTGTCCACTCTTTCAGATCTAATAAGGGAAAGAACAATTGATCTTAACTGAAGAGAAGATTTATAAGGTGGACGATGAAGACACTTCAACCCTCCCTGCTGTGGTCTGCAGTTGTGCTAATTTCAGACTGCCGCCAAGGCTTTATTTAAGGGTTCCCTTTGTTCCACTGTTTAAGGGGTTACATTATTTATTTTGGGGGCATGTCATCAGCCAGGGGGAGGTAGGCAGGTATGTTCAGATTTCTTTTCTAGGTACCGTATTTTTCGCTCTATAACACGCACCTGACCATAACACGCACATCGTTTTTAGAGGAGGAAAACAAGGGAAAAAATATTCTGAATGAAACAGTGGACGTATCATTTTTGTGCTTCATGCTGTGGCCACAGACATGTGATCTGATGGTGAATTTGGGGTGACCCAATGCAAAAATCCTGAGAATCCCTGTGGATCCATGCTTTGTAACCACGTTTTTGCACCATTGCAGCCCCAGGCAACAGTGGGTGCGTGATTTTTTTTTTGGGGGGGGGACAGGCTGTAGCCATGGACATGCTATGTGCTCTGATGGTGAATTTTGGCTGACCCAATGCAAAGATCCTGAGGATCCATGTGGATCCATGCTTTGTAACCACGTTTTTGCACCATTGCAGCCCCAGGCAACAGTGGGTGCGTGATTTTTTTTTGGGGGGGGGACAGGCTGTAGCCATGGACATGCTATGTGCTCTGATGGTGAATTTTGGCTGACCCAATGCAAAGATCCTGAGGATCCATGTGGATCCATGCTTTGTAACCACGTTTTTGCACCATTGCAGCCCCAGGCAACAATGGGTGTGTGATTTTTGGGGGGCAGGCTGTAGCCATGGACATGCTGTGTGCTCTGATGGTGAATTTGGGGTGACCCAATGCAAAGATCCTGAGGATCCATGTGGATCCATGCTTTGTAACCACATTTTAAGTGGGGAGGGAAGGAAAAACACAGAAGGCTAAGAATGCAGGAGAGGGCTATAATGTGAGGAAAGGAAGGCAAAAGTTCCCCCCCCCAACCCACCCAAGCCAGCCAGCGTGCGCTCTCTCTCTCTCTCTCTCTCTCTCTCTCTCTCCCTCCCACCAGCATGACAGAAGAAAGCATTTTAACTGCATTAAGAACTATTTAGCAGCGAAACCTAAGCTTTGCCATCCCTTAAGAGGTACAGACACTGTAATCTTCCAGATCGCATGAATTTACAGGCAAAACACTGTTTAAGGATTTCATCCTTTTAAATGGAAGAAAGCATATTTGAATGCTGTGTGTCTCCAAAAACAAAAAGCAGGAAGTCAAATCAGAATTTTAAGCCGAACCTGTAATCTCTCTTCCCTTTACAAACATTGTTCCCTCCGGAGCAGGGACAGGATAGAGCGACGCTCTGCTCTCCTCTCTACTTGCCTGGAGGGGAGGGGCTTTCCCTGCTCTTTGTTCGGACGCTCTGCTCTCCTCTCTACTTGCCTGGAGGGGAGGGGCTTTCCCTGCTCTTTGTTCCGTTTGAGCAAACACAGCAACGAAACAGAGCAGGGTGGGCAGTAAGACCCTGAGGCAGAATGCAGGAAAGCTGCAGCTTCCTGTCTCACGGAGCTCCCTTCTCCCTGAAGCGCGGTTTGATTTTTGCCTCATTTTTCGGCTCCAGGGACACACATTCGCTCCATAACACGCACAGACATTTCCCCTTCCTTTTTAGGAGCAAAAATCTGCGTGTTATAGAGCGAAAAATACGGTATGTACATTGATTATTGCTGCTTGGCGAGTCTGAAAAACTAATTTAAGCCTGCCTACCACAATTCTGTGCTCCTGCCTCCATCACATGATGAGGGAATTACCCAATCCAGTGGCTTCATCATCCACCGCAATAAATTCTATATACACAGCTCTTGCTTCTAAGCAACTTGATGGATCGGGACATAAATATGAACTGTTATCAGTGAAAATTTGGGAGAAGTCTTACCTAATTCTTTTCTGTTCTGTCAAGTCTCCTTCGCTGACCAACATAGCTGATAGTAACCGGAGTGTTGAATTTGCAGATTTTGACTGGTTATTTTTCATACCCAAAAGCCAACGTACTAGAAGTTTAATTGCTTGAACCTATTAGCAGATAAAATCAAGTCATTGATACTTCTACCAGCATTACTAAGTATATTTTAGTTCACTGCCTAAGATTTGAGAGCCTCCTCTATTGAAATATAACGACTGAAAATTGTATTCACATTCAATTTCAGAATAGAAAAAAACCTGTGTGAATTTCATGTTAAAAAAGGGGTCACCAACCTTTCCAGACCAGTGGGCCCGTTTCTAATTTTCGAGAAAAAGCTCTGGGTGCCAGTCACAAAACGGCTGCCGTAAGTCAGAACACAACACGGCTGCTACGGCATAGAACAAAATTAGAGAGAGTGTGGTCACTGCTACTTCCCTCACCCCACTTGGACAAGCTCATGCTTGCTGTGGGATGTCAGCTATGTCTTCCTGGTTCTGACTCTGGAGGTGACACAATATTTTCCACACACATAGACAATGATCCTGTTGCTGACTAGTAACAGCAGGGAGCCTGAGTATCAGGGGGGAAATACAAGGTGGCTACACCACTCATTTATTCTTTCAAACTCAGCATACACACCTACAGACCACAGGAACACATGCATCTCTGCCAAGCGCATCTCCCCCTCTCTTTCTAAGACCACAACATACAAACAAACCACACATGCATATATCCCTCCCTCTCACACATACACACCACAAATATCTTAGGCTACACATAAACCCATCCCTTCCCTCCCTCCCACATCTCCCCCCCCCCCAGCCAAGTGCATCTCTCTCTCAATCACACATGCACAGCATACTTGAGCACCCACACATTCAGAAATGCCCCACCAAGGGTGAAGGAAGCGCTTTCAATTTTAAAAAATCCCTCCCGACCCCATACACAAGGGTCACTAACTTGGTGCCCAATGGCACTGGGTTGGTGATTCCTGTGCCAAGACATAACACAAAAATCGGATTGGAAAAAAGGGAGATTAATACTTTTGCAACATGCTTCTCGCATTTTCTTTCAATTTGCTTTATCATATATTTGAATGTATGTATTCATGTACTGTAGAAACAACTGAAAAATGTGAACTTGTTACTTAAGACAGGTAATTCCATTTTTAAGACCGTAAAGCCTTCTAGTTTTAGGAGATGGTTATCTAGATTCTAAGCATTTATTCGTTTACTTACCTTGTTCCATTTTCATTTACATAAAAGTAACAATAAGAATTTTTTTAAAAGCTATTTCATTATAAGGCAAGAAGCAAATATCACATCATTTCATGTGTATTAGCTGAACAGAGATTAAGTAGGCATTTGTAACAAATTAATTACACCAACTTCGAAGAACATTTAATGAAACAACCCTTTATCAGCAAATAAAGAGCAAAGTACTTGTATGACCAGACATACTGAAACTCAATTTCTTTGCAGGTCGATACGTTACAAAGGCCAAGCTATACTGTTTATGTTTATATTGACAAATAGATTTAATACTGTTGTACATTTTTGTGAGAAATTGCTATGCCTTACAGTTAAAGGTAAGAAACTAATGTACCTTTGCTAGAACTTCTGGAGAAACCTCTTCATCTGGGGACCACAATTTCCCATTTTTCTCACCTGTAGACTGCAAAGATTTATGCATGATTGATAGCAATTTTTAACAATGCACAAAATAATTTAAAAAAGAATTTTAATATATTTTGCCTTCATCTTGCAAGCTCATATAGCATCAGATATTTACATAACATTCTTCATTCTCACCATAAAGTCATTATATCGCTCTGAGCCTTACCCTGTCATTCATCAGGAGATCTTTTACAATGAAATTTGCAACTACGGATTTCATTGGTGATGCAAACTGGTCTGGTGCCAACATGGAAATGTGACCCAAAGAAACTAATGGTGTTATAAGTTGCTCTGGAACATCAGCATTCAAACTTCTACTTAGAGGCTGGAGGAGGAGAGAGAAGAATTATTGCACATTAACGTACTTCCCAAAAAAAATAATACTAACTTGTATAGTTCTGTTACAAATATATATCTCAAGAAGACCCAAAATGCAGTACAAACTCAGTTTCTTACTCAATTTAATATACTGGTATGAACCAATATATTAAAAATCAAATACCTTAAGCACTCTACACCAAGAGAGCAACTTGTTCCCTATATCCCATCTTATTCTCAGAAGCGCTATATGCTACACCATCTGCAATTGGGTAGAAGAGTTCATATCCAATGAGCTCCTTGGAGGAAGGGTATGATAAAAACATGGGATATGGTCCAATGTAATACAAGTGGGCATTTGCTCATACCATGGGGCTTCTCCTTCGTCTGTCCCCCCACCTCAAAATCTGCTCTGGAATATTGAGGGAACCTCTGGAACAGATTGGAGGGTGCAGGGGGCTTCAGGGGGAGATTAAAGAAACTGGAAGTACAGTTGCACAAGCAGGCACACATCACTCGAGGTAAGCGAACAGTTTGGGAAGGCTCAATTCACATTCCATTTTGCATCTTACTTTTGCCCCTTGGGCATGAGTGTGGAGTTGGAGGTTAATCAGAGCAGTATGTCATAAATATATATGTCGAGTTCCACTGTGACCTCTCACTGCTCAAGGAAGACATTGTATTACAGTGAATTGTAGCTTTTCTTGCCCCTTTAAAATGGGTGCAGGGGTCAATCTGGGAGTCAAGTTGCAAATGGAGAATTATATGTTAACATACATACCAAGTTGTGTTATGGTTCCTCAGTGCCCAGTATCAAATTATAGGGCTTGATCATCTTTCCTGCATCCTTAGGTAATGGTTATGGGGCAACATTGCATTATAACATCTAGAGCTGTGTCCAGAACGTGCACATTAAACTTCATTAAACCAAAGGCTTTGCTTGCTTGGCAAGCAGCTAAGTACACAATTTGTATACTTCCTGTTAAAACCCTAAAACTAAACAAAGTGCAGTACTGAAACTGAGGAATGGGTTTGGCATGGTCTTTTTCCTACTTTGTCTTCAATAGTCAAATTCATTAGTAAAGGTGTAAGTAGATAAACTGAACTTTCTAGAATTCATAATGTCTGAATGGTTTGATATTCAAACAGGAAAACACATTTGAATCAGTTCTAAGTAAGTAGAAAGTCTTGCAGGATATGACAAATTCGGGGAGGATACGGCTATTGATGGCTACTAGTCATGAAGGCTATGTTCTGCTTTTGCTGTTGGAGGCAGTATGGTAATATCTACCTACCTACCTACCTACCTACCTACCAGGCTAGAAATCTCAAGTGAGGAGATCACTAGTGCACTCAGATCCTGCTTATGGGCTTCTCACAGGGATCTGATTGATCCCTGTGACAACAGAGTGATGAACTATATGAGCCTTGGTCTGATCCAGCAGGGCTCTTCTTATGTTGTAAAGTTCTTTCTATCACCAGGTGTCAAAAGGGCATGCTGGTATGAAGAACTCTTCCATTCCATCAAGACACTATAGAGGTGAGGAATAATGGAAGGCTTGAAGTGTTGTTGCAACTTGAATTGTACCTGAAGAACTTACCAAGTGAAACCACCACTTGTCAAGAGATGTTTATCAGCTATCAATTACGTGCCTTTAACTGACTGTATCATATGCAGGTTTATTTAAACAGAAACAAAGTTCAATACTGGTGCGATCAACATTCCTGCTACCGCAACACACCAAAACAAAAATAGTTTCAATACATTGGCAAATGTGCCCTTAACTTTCAGTCCTTCAGCCAATCAAATAAAGCATTAGTTAATTTTTTAATACGTCTAATGGAAGTAAAATGTTGCTAACTACTAGTGGACCCTGACCACTTCTTGAAGTGTTATACAGTACATTCCTTGAAAACCCTGGGTTGTTAGAATAATTTCAAAAGGTCTGATAATTGTGATTCCATCCTTTCATGGCTTTTAAGAAGTCAGACAAACCTACCTCAAAAATCTGTGCAAGCTGAACTTCTTTATTTGAAAATATGGCATGTATACAGTGGACAGCTTGTTTTGCTTGGTGAGGTGTTCCTCTCTTTGCTTTCTGATGCAAAATAGGAATAAGGGTTCTGTACAGAGTTAGCACAAAAAAAATTATACCAAAAATAAATTCCTGTAATGTTTGCCGGAAGTCAGTGCAAGATTTTTTTGAAACATTGAGAACCACCATATAAAATTAAATTAAGAGCACACATTCTTAGGTGGAAAGGTAGTTCAAATGCATTGGTCATTGACAACTCCCACCATCTCCCACATGAAACGGGATGCTAGATTAGAGAGATCCAAGCATGACTTTAATGGTCTTAAGACATAGATGAGCACCCAAGGTTCACCGTTCTCCCCAACCCGGAAAAAATGTAACTACAAATCAAGGCAGTGGTTTTCAACCAGTGTGCCGTGACACCCTGGGGTGCCTTGAATGATGGTCAGGGGTGCCATGGGCAACACTGGCCTCTGCCCCTTATTCTTTCCCTCCCTCCCTCCTCTGATGCCCTCTCAGCTTGCTTAAAGCCAAAGCCCTGGCTATAAGCTCCGCAGGTAAATGGTACCTCTGGAAGACATCTCTTTTGGAGCAGGATGGGCAGCTCAGAGACCAGGGGTGGCAGCAGTGACTGCCTAGAGAGGACTCCCAAAGAGAGAGGAGGGGAGAGGAGGCTGAGGGAGCACTCCACAGGGAGGATGTTTGAAACAGGGTGAGAGGCTGCCAGCTCTGCAGGCAAGGGGTGACATAACTGGGCTCCTGAGCCCCACAGGGGTGCCGCAGAAAGAATGCAGTTGGTCAAGGGAGCCGTGGACTCAAAAAGGTTGAAAACCTCTGAATTAAGGGATGCAACAGTAATGGGCAATGAGGTTATATATATTTGCACCAGCAAGAAAAAGATTGTCTAATATCAAAAAGCTGAAAGACAAGACAGTACCAAAAGCATTTATGGTATTTGAAGAAATGCACTCACGATCGTATCTGGGGCAGATCAGTTTCTATTTTGTGCCCAGTGTTTCTGAATATTTGAATGGCTGCCTCTGCTACTTTATCATCTTCCATCCTGAGGCACTGCAGGAGAGATTCATACGTCTCTGCAGAGTGGAACGAGGTAGGATGCGTGAAAGACAGAACCTATGGACACATATCAAAACAAATTAGAAAAACATATTCATGAATGAATCCTGAATATCTGGGAGTAGGGCAGGGTATAAATCTAAATCTAGATTCATTTCCCTTTGTGCTTGCCTCAAAGGAAGGGGTGGGAAACACTAAGATTATCTTGTGGAAGTCCCAATTCTTGACTTTCAGAGTTTATTATTTTTTATTAACATTTTTGTATTAGCATTTCAAATTTTACAAATTCTTTTAAACAACCCTCAGAATAAATCTCTCATATCGATTGACTTCCCATCCACACTTCCATGGTGTTCTTTTCTTATCTTATAAAGCTGCTATACTGCTTATATTTTACTCATTATATTTTGTCTAATTTTGTGTTATGCCACGGCCGCCTTGACACCCATGAGAATTGTTCAGTGCCCCCAGGGCAGACATTTTGTCCCTCAAGCCCACAGCACTTTCTCAAAATTTGAACTGTGACCACTCATCCAAAAAAAGGCTGGCAACCCCTGATCTAATCCATCTACACACAATGCAATTTATTGTGCTAATACCTAGGACAACATACATCTAAAATTCACTGCATTATGCAATGTACAAAGAGATTAAAAGGGATTGTAGCTGGCCCATTCCATAGGTTTCTTCAAGTGAATGTCAGCATTTGAAGAAAGGTTTTTAATGTCAAGAAGCAGCACTGACTCTTCAAAAGAATACTTAAATGGACTGCAGTGTAGTGAATTTAGAAGTATTACTAAACAAGTAATTTTACAGACAGTACCTTGAGAAGTTCAAGCCCTGAACGAATAGCTGTATCAGGGCTTACACCCTCCTCTTCATCATCAGCTGTCCCTTCTATTGATTTATTCATCAGCTTTACTAATGCACTAAGAAAAAAATTGGGGGGGGGGGAGCTTAAATGTACACTTTCATCTTACTTATTATACACACATTCAATCTACTATTTCTTTGTAAAAAAACCACCATCTATGTAACCAAGCCAGTCTAATATTCCGGTTTTCTTCTGAATATTGCTTATTTTCACAATAATCTAGAATATTATTGAAATATTCTTATTTCAATAAAATTTTCAACATACCTTGACCTTTGTTTTTAAAAGCAAATCTTATTTTTTATTAATTGGTTTAAACTCATTCCTAACTACTTTGAAGTGTATACCGGTAAATCAGATTTTAAAAGAAACTCATATTAGCAACAGTAAAGAGCTGCCTTGCAAAAACACTAAGATGGGACAGCTGTCAGTCAAGCTTACCTGATGGCTTCTGAGTCAATGTGTACAGGGGCAATTCTTTCCAAAAGAAATTTTACCATCTCCAGGAAAGGATTGGTTGGCTGTTTAGGATTAGCAAGTTTCCGTGCAATCTCCCTCTGAATAAAAGAAAAGGATTAAGTTATGACAAATCTGCAGTAATTTTTGTACAAGCAATACTCCGAATGAGACAAACAAACAAACAAACAAAAACAAAAGCCACACTAGTTCCATAACTCACGGTACATTTCTGAAAATCAAATACTGCTAAACAGAGCTAAATTTCTTCTAGCCTTAATTAAACGTGTGAACTAGGTACAACAGTCAAGCATGAATGGCTAATTTTTTTGTGGGAGTTTCTCATCCCCCACTAATGGCTGGAAGAAGGGGCAAAAGTTATATTAAAGTATCACCCTTTTTGGACTATCTCTCAGCTTTGTTGACAGGTCAGCCCAAAATAAAGTTACCTGTCCTCCATAAATTTCCTGTCCACAGCAAGACAGCAAGATTTTATCATGGTGGTTGACCTGGTGTGTTACTGAGACACAAGTGACTGACCTTTATTTTAACTGTGCCACACCGGGGTATCCAGTGAAGCAGCAGCAGGCAGATAAAAGTACCGTACTTTTCCATGTATAAGACTAGGTTTTCTTACTTTAAAATAAGGTTAAAAATATGGGGGTGTCTTATACACGGACAGTGCATATGCCCATTTTCTAAATTTGGGGCCCCCAAAAGTAGGGGTGTCTTATACACGGAAAAATACGGTACTTTCTTCTCACCAGAATAGGGGCCTGCTCAGGAGTGGAGGAAAAGCAAAGTGTGCACTTATTTAAACTATTGCTTATTTTAAACAGCAGTTTAATATTTTGTGTGAACCAAGCCAGTAAAACTTGCTTGTGGGTAAACATTTAGGAGTAACCCAGGCATGTGTATATACACTTCCTAAGGATTTTCCATTATCAGGAGCATTCCTGAATTCTTGGCTCATCTTTCTGACCCTTCCTACCATGTCAAAGCCCCATATTTTTATTGTGGTATTCCTGTTCAGAAATGCATAAAAGAAACACAGCCTATCTATACTGGAAACAATAGTAAAAACCTGGTTCTTACCACACAGACATCTGCTTGCTTACAGGAGCAGGTAGGACTGATTAACAGTTCAAGCTGAGAACGAAGCTTCTCATCATCACCAAGAACCTGATTGAACTTTTTCACAAAGTCTTGTGCCTTCCCAGGATCAGGAAGATTTTCTATAGAATTGAAATTCAAAAAGGTAGTTTATAGTAGCAGCTTTAGTTGTACTGAAAAAAACAACAATGTAATACTCCTCTACAGATCTTACTTGCTATGGTCATCAGCTTTCCAAACATAGCAGCACTGTTTGCTTCTGACTGAAAAGAGAAGTTCAGAATGAGCATTTATACATAAAGTTTCGTATACCAGAGTTGCTTCTACTGTTGTAGAATCTCTCTTCTCTCCCCCCCCCACCCCACTTTGGCAAATGGGTAAAGGTAAAGATAAAGGGACCCCTGACCATTAGGTTCAGTTGTGACAGACTCTGGGGTTGCAGCACTCATCTCGCTTCAGGGTCATGTGGCCAGCATGACTAAGCCGCTTCTGGCAAACCAGAGCAACACGTGGAAATGCCGTTTACCTTCCCGGCAGAGCGGTACCTATTTATCTACTTGCACTTTGATGTGCTTTCAAACTGCTAGGTTGGCAGGAGCAGGGATCGAGCAACGGGAGCTCACCCCGTTGCGGGGATTCAAACCGCCGACCTTCTGATCGGCAAGTCCTAGGCACTGTGGTTTAAGCCACAGTGCCACCCGCGTCCCTTGGTAAATGGGTACAAGATTACAAATACACGATCATCAAATAAAATAATAAACAAATAAATATTTAGCATTTTGCTATCCCATAAAAGCCGATTTCCAACAACAAAGCAGTCCTAACCTAAAAGCAGGCAGCAGTAGAATTTGATGGAGCAGCATAGTCACCACCACATCCACAGCCCTACCAGTCACACTGGCCAGGGCTGGCATTCTGAGTGGGCACAAATTGAACTGAATGCTGTCAAGTGACTACAGTGAAGCTGAATTGGGATCCAGTGAGTCCTAGGCCCACTCAGCCTCTCTCTCCCCCGTTTTGGGCTTTCTGTGGACTACCGTAGGTAGGAATCATGCCAATGACAGGAATGGGAAGATCTACACCAGAGGGGTGATGCCAGCACAATAGTTTTGGGCTGTGCAGAAGAACACATTTGCTCTATCCCACTGCCCCCCAAGCCAGCAGATCAGGAGTTTGGATTGCAGTGTAAATTACCAAAAAGAGATACTTTTGTCTTTTCCTCAAAAAACCCAAAGAAAAATGCTAGATATTATTTAGTAATGTATTATTCTGATTTATTCTATTAATTGTTGCTTCTAGTTTGTTCTTTCAGGAACATTAGAAAATTTTAATGCAAGAAGTCACTGATTGTAAAGGATTGACAACAAACATTTCTGAGCTAGAGTGGACCCCTTGCTTTAAAGTTCCATTAAGATACTGATTACTAAGTTCTGAACTAAGAAAAAGGTAGTATTAGAATTTGAAATTAAAAAATAAAATAAAAAAGAATTTGAAATTAAGTTTAAAACCATCATTTAATATATTAATTCTAAAATATATGCAGATGTGTTACAAAGCATTAAATGTAAAATGAGGCAATTAAGTTATTGTGAAAACCGTACAGTGGGTTGCTTGTGCAAATCTAGTAACTCCCGCACGTGACTCCTAAGCATGTTCTGGCATTTCCACATTTCATTCAGTGCCCTAAGCATAAAAGAAATGACAAATGTGTTAAAATCTGAAAAACCAGCGTGATTCTAAAAATACAACATTGAGTCCCAAGCTGACTGTTCTTCTATCACATTATCTCTTGTTGGCCCAATATCCTGCTCTCAATAACTTCTCCAGCAACAAGTCTGAACATATATTATGCCTTCCCACCTTTCAGTTCCCACCTTTCAGTTTTTAATCAGTGTGTGCCTGCACATGCAAGCACGCACACACAAAATTCATTGAGCTCTTTATTCAACTAGTAATTTCAAAATACCATGTCTTAAAATCCAAATACAGAAGCTAACCTTGAATAAAATACAACTATTGACAAGATACTAGCAGTGAACACTGGCTCTGTGCATACTATGAACTATGAGGAAAACTGAGGTGATTCAGGGAAGGTCCTCACATTTCTGAGTCCGTTTATGCTGTTAAAAATATATCATGAGATGGAACAGGAACTCCCTAAGCTTTTGTGTGTTCTGTGGCCTTGACAGTCCAAAATTGTACAATCATGTATCTTTCTTTCTGACAAGCTCAAGCAGACTGGAGTACTGTCTAAGTTTTAAGAGGAAGGGTGGTGGAGGAAAATGGGATAAATCTTTATTTTGTTGGCTAGGAGGACAATCCCGCCCCTGTCTATTTTAGGGATTTATGCTATTTTTCTACTACCCTCTTCCCTATGATTTCTACTGTATCTACTCCATATTGGTGAAATCTGCCCTTTTTCTTTGTTCTAAAAAAAATAATAAGCAAGCTACAGGAGCTTTCTGTCTATGATCAGGACAGGCTTAATCCACTCTGGAGGACCTGCTATGCTTGCAAATTTCATCCTCTTCTAAGAATAGAAAATAAAGTTAAAGTTGTGTTATGATCCCACATAATGGGGAGGGGGGCCGATTTAATTCTGTCCTAAATAATGAGTTCAATTGCAAAGACACAGAGAGCACCTGAAACAGATAGGGCTGCTTCCCAAAGCAACAGATCTTGATACAAATTGAATCTTATGGCCAGTGTACACTCCTAGTAGACACCCAGTTCAGCAAACTTAAACAAGTTTGCTAATCTTAACAGGTCAACCAATACGTAGTATTCTGAACAGTGAGGCATTTTGTTTTTGAATCTCCTACATAGTGTGTGTTTAAAGCGACTGCTAAAGCACACTGAGAACTTCCCTGTGTAGAAGGATACTCACTTAACAGCATTTGGGTCTAAGCTAGCATACAAATAATATAAGCACTTCATCCGCTCTTCTGTTTCCAAGTTATGTGGAACAAGATACTGAGCAAAGATTTTCTCCACCAATAATCTGCAAAGGAAAATAAGTTGACAGATTTTGTATTTTCCAAAATACTCATACTTTCGAATTATGAGCCTATGTATACCAGGACATCATCCTCTCATTTCTACATTATCTGCTATCCCAAAACAAGCAGGTTTGGGTGGATCTCCCTTGGCAGTTCCTCCAAAAACCTCTGTCAAGAGTTGGGGGAGCCTGCTGAATGCGGAGGGGCTGAGGGGGGTAGAGTCACTTTCCGCAAGTATGAGCTCATGGAAGGAGCCTCTCCCAGTTTTCAGCAGCCCCTCTCCCCCACCATGACACAGCTCACTCTTTGATAAGAGTGAGGCCCTTGCAACCCTCAAGCAAGGATTTTCAGCAGACTGACTGGTGGAGGAGGGGGAAAGATAGTCACCTTCTGGCAACCCCCTTCTACCAACACTTCTCAGGATCTAAACCAAAGGAAATATTGTATCTGCTTGAAAGACTGTAGAATACCCCTTACTATTATAGATTATAATAGTAATATCAGTAATGGGAATCCTCATTATTAAGGTATAGGAATTAACTAGCCCCTGTAGTTCATCTGGAGAAAACAAATACACTTCTCGGCAAATTCAACAGTGAGATGCCCTGAAAACATCTAATAAAAGGACAAAGTAAAGAAGCCACACACTTTTCCTTTATGAAAATAGAGAATCAGCAGAAATTACCAAGAGACTAAAATTCCATTTTTAAAAAGGAATCTTACGACAATGTACTATCACAAACATGCATTAGGGAAGGATGCTACTGTATCTAACCTTCGTTACATATCTTTAAGAACTAGGCAAAAACATTCTTCTTTTCCCAGGCCTTTGGCTATTTAAAAATCTTATGGCCTTTTAAACTTTAGGGGCGGGTAGCGTTTGTGTGTGCTACTATGTTGTGTAATTTTGTGTTTTGATACTGTAAACTGCCCTGTGATCCTCGGATGAAGGGCGGTATAGAAATTTAATAAATAAATAAATAACACCCCCCCCCCCCCGATTATATAATTGTTTGTATACAGACAAAATTAATCTATGCTGCATAGGAATGTCTGCACCAGGGTGTTTCTTGCAGCACGCTAGTATTCTGCAGTTCTTCCTTTGGAAACCATTTAGAACAATTATATTCTGTTGTTCTATCAAGATCCTGAAGATGGCCATCGGAAGAAAAACATACAAAAGATGTGAAACACAATGGGTCATTTCAGACATCAATAATCCCTGCTTGCACAGTTTAATAACTGTGGCATGCCTTAATGTCTCAACTGGACGAACTATTTAGCACTAACCAGAGATTATTATCACCAAACTGGTTTTGATCCATGGTTTTGAAGCAACTCATGGTTAGTGATGACCATAGTCTGCTCAATTCAAGTATCCTGGCAAATTACCATCATCTCAAACCATAGAATGGAGAAAGGAATATGTAAGCCTATAGAGTTTACCAATTACCCAAACTATTGTTCAGCAATAGCTCCATGCTGGCCAAATTGAGCCACGGGAAATTTTATTTACGTTTCTTTGGAGCAGCAGTTATTTTGGAGTACTTTTGCCACCAGTTAAAGGCTTATTTACCCTGGATTTCCCTGATCATTAGTAAGGGTCTTGGCTGCTCTTGGTTAATACTTTTGTGATGTTTTTACAGGTACTTTCATTGGATTTGTGCATTGTTTTACATTGTAATGTGATTTGTAATTCACTGTATTGAAAGAGAAATAGGTTTAGATAAATAAATTGGATATTGTGCCACTTGAGGAAATGGCTTAACACTGACTTACTTGTCATCAATGCTATTCTGATAATATATGTGCAAAAGTTTATCCTTTATCCAGCTCACTTTCTCTGCTGCATCTTTTCCAGCTTCGGCATGAAGACAGTATTTCTTGTATAGCTGGGCAAGACCCATCATTGCTTCTTTTCTTACTCGCCACTTAAAAGGGAAAAAAGGAAAGCATTTTTAGGTTTACAGGATTACATACTCTCTTTTTCTTATTTAATGAGTGCCCTTGATCTGTTCAAAGTGGGGTGGTTTGTAATTACCCTTTGGTGAATATTTTGGAACCTTTATTTAAAAAAAACCATTTTAATTGTTTTTCTTTCATCAGTCCCCCTATTTTTATCTCCGCCCTTGTTATGGATATAATAGTGACTTCTAAGAGATTTTGGGGTTTTTTACTAGGTGAATGTGTTTAAATTTTCTTACTTTTCCTAATTTTTAATACTGTTTTTAAACAAATTTTTAACAGTGAATTTCGGTTTACTATCAGGTGACACAGCATATAAACTATTGTTTCATAATATCTGGCAAAATAGACTGTGATGCAGGATACTGTTTTTTGTATGTTATGTGAGAAATGGGATTTTTGTGACTTTGCTAGATCACTGAAAACCTCCCAATATTTGTGGTTACAGAATCTCATGGATTATAAGATGTTTTTGAAATGTATTTTACCTCTGATATTATATACCACAACTTTAGTAGCTTCAAATTTCCCTGTATGTTTTCCAATGACTAGAATGTTTCTGAAATATCTAAAATGTAACTTACTATGGAAGAACCATCATTATGGTTTTTCCTCTTTTTCATAGCCTGCAGGACCATAGAAATCCAAAAACATTTTACTTTTCCCAAAACAAAAGCCAGACAAGAACACTATCCACAAAAGTAACCCTGTTCGGTTTTGCTTACTTTGAAGAAAGCAGACAGGACTAATACAATCTTTTGTCTAAAATGTCATTGTAAGTTTCTAAATAATTAAATACTGAGAATAGAAACTGACATTTGGCAGCTTAAATGTCACAACAGGTCAGCAATCACTTTTACTTTGAAAACTGTCAATGTGGTGATAGTAAGAACAAGTCCTGATGTGATGCAGATAATATAGCATTTAGACAGGACGTGTTGCTGTTACACTTTTCCAGCATGCAGGATCACAGTCTCAGCCTGGAGTAAAAAGGGATTCTGAAAGTTGAATGAGCATTTCAGTAACTGGTTTTTGTCTGTTGTTGTGATGTGACGTGCAATGAAAAAAACTTAAAATATCCATACAACTTGGAAGCATGAAACTGCTAAAATTTTCACAGTTTTATTCTGTTATAGGATTTCTGCTTCCACATGAGAATTCCCTTCACCCCCTGTAGTGCCTGGTACAGCCCCAACACCTGCTCTGGAAGTTCCCCTGATCCTCTAGCATAGATTCTGGGGGAACACAAGGGACTTCAGAGGAGAGGAAGGGGAGGTCCTACTGCACAAGCAGAAATCCACTCATGTGACACTGGTTGTCGCCCTATGAGTTTTAACATTATAGCATTCCTTTCATCTTACCCTCTTGTCCAGTGTTCTCTCTCTGACAAAGCCAAGTAACTGGTCATTGACTAAAGAGAGGTCCCTCTTGCCAGCCGTTATTATTGTAACAATGACATCATGTCGAATGGCTTCTTCTGGGTCATGTGACCTAACCTTTAAGTACTCTAATACAAAAAGAAAACATTGTCAGTTTTATGCTTCTGGCTTGGTTTCAATCAAAGAACAACAAATTAGGAATACTAAATACCTATCCTTAGCCTACAATTGTAAACACACGAGTTTAGGGAGAGATTAATATTATGACTTCAATTAGGAAAGCAACTGAACAGAGGAAAGTCATAGATTCCACTTAATGAAAGGCCTGCTGTGTTAAACTAAAAATTGCAAGAATATTAGAAATGATAAGCTACTCCATTTTGTATGTTGAGTCATGCAAAATATCAGAACCACCACACCAGCTCCAATTCTATATGAAAATTTGCCTTGAACAATCCTTCTAATCCTTCAACTGATTAAAAGAATAATCAAGTCAAACATTTATATATATTATAATTATGTTAGTATTTGTCATGCCACCATGTTATGTACATGAACTATTATCTTCATGCTCTTCTGTCTAATGAATCTAATCTAGGAGATAAGAGATCTTACCAGTGAGGTCTTTTGCTAAATCTGGATGGTTCATTAAACAATGGCTTGCAAATTTCACGCTTTCTAATCTCACAGGAACATGGATATCATTAAATCTGGAGAAGGGGAAATTAATTTACAATTATAATAGACAAATAAACTTAGTATGTTTTCATAAACTCCATCATTTCAGAGTGCAACACATTATGACACCATAAGGCAAAGCAAACTCAAAACAAGTAGGACAAAAAAGTATGGTAATCCTCTGAATAAAAATGCAATAAAATGTATATAAGGTTACATTGAAACAGCTAAATTTATTGTCATTCGCTTGACCCCCTAGGGGAGAGCAGAACCTAACTAACTAGTTTACATAGTAGTGCTGAAGAACCTCTGCCCATTTTTCTCAAACCACACCCATCCACCCTCACAGCTTATTTCCTATGTATGCCAGATGTGGCTGCAAAGAGGCAATCAGGAAGTTAAAATATGCTCCTGATTGTTCCTTGGCAAGCATGGCTTGCTACTGTTATTGATCAGCTTATGTTTTCCATTTGCACGTGCAGTTTAAGCCCAATGTCTTCAAAGGGATTTGCTTGTTAGTGCCCCTCACCTTTAAAAGTTGGCCCGTAGCCACCTGTGCTATATATAACTATCAAAAACATAAATGCTACTACTTGTATTTAGTGCTCATAGTTATTCCAAGGAAACTGTATACTGTAACAGCATATAAAGGCAGCAGGGAATACAGTGGTACCTTGATTTAAGAACAGCCCTGTTTGCGAACGATTCAGTTTACGAACTTCGTAAAACCAGAAGTAGTGTCCCAGTTTGCAAATTTTACCTCGGTCTAAGAACGGAATCCAAACGATGGAAGGGCACCGGCGGCAGGAGGCCTCATTAAGGAAAGCGTGCCTTGGTTTAAGAATGGTTTCGGTTTAAGAATGGACTTCCGGAATGGATTAAGTTCATAAACTGAGGTACCACTGTATACTATTAAAAGGTAAAGGTACCCCTGCCCGTACGGGCCAGTCTTGACAGACTCTAGGGTTGTGCGCTCATCTCACTCTAGAGGCCGGGAGCCAGCGCTGTCCGCAGACACTTCCGGGTCATGTGGCCAGCGTGACGAAACTGCTCTGGCGAACTGGCACCAGAGCAGCACACGGAACGCCGTTTACCTTCCCGCTATAAAGCAATACCTATTTATCTACTTGCACTTAGGGGTGCTTTCGAACTGCTAGGTGGGCAGGAGCTGGGACCGAACGACGGGAGCTCACCCCGCCGCGGGGATTCGAACCGCCGCCCATGCGATCAGCAAGTCCTAGGCGCTGAGGTTTTACCCACAGCGCCACCCGCGTCACTATACTGTATACTATTAGGCAAGACCTAAACTGAGCTTTGCTTAAAGATGTGAACTCCAGTCCTATCTGAAAATAGAAGTAGGTCTAACAATATGTAGCAGATAACCATGACCATATGAAAATCATTACAGATTTTTTTTTTAAAGAGATGAATGGTAGGAAGAGAGCTGCTTTGAGAACAGAACAATTAAAAACACGTTTGTATGTTTTCTCACCGGCCAAGAAAGCACTGCCAAAGCGGACGGTTCTGCGTTGCGAGGTCAGAATCCTTAGAACCAAATAGCTTAGCTAAAAGGCGAACAACAGCTAAACGTTCCTCTCCATCGTTGCTCTACAGTTTGAAGACAACAAAAAACAGAATTGGAATTAGATACTATCAAAATGAAACAAATATACAAAAATCAAAGTCATGTTATTCAACTATTGGATTCTTGCCTTTTGAAAAACCAAAGCAATACAAACAAGTATTTCCGCTCACAGACTCCTATGAAGAGCTCTCTCTCTCTGTATTATGCAACACCATCTTAAAGTGTCTTTGCATCTTAGAGGATGCAAAGCTACTGTTTCAGAAACATGAGCCAAAGCACCACTAAACAGGTGGATCTAGTTGCTTGGTTTTTTGGAACCTAAACTGTTGTTACAGCCTCATGCTGAGGACCTCCACATATGTTAATATTAAATAACTAATTTCACTTACCTTCAGTTTGAACTCAAGCTGTGGCATGACGGACAGCAATAAATTAGGATCAACAGCAAAAAGCTCCTGAATTAGATCAAATATATGCTCTGACAAGTCACTTACAGAAGACTTTCCTAGTACCAGGACCTGGTTAAAAAACTAGGAAAAAAAGATATTATTAATAAGGTGCTTTTTTAAAAAAAAATATGAATAGAGATCCACAAATTTTGGCTGGTTTTTGTAGGTAAGTATTTGTGCTTGTCACCAATCTTGTTTGTCCCACAAACTGAAGGAAGGGCAGGCAAAGCCCGATGTCTGACATCAAGCAGAGCTTCAGTGGGACTCTGTAACAGTGAAACATGCCTCCAAAGCACATCACAAGGTGAGCTTCCACGTTCTTCTACTATGGCAGGCTACAGGGTAGGGGGGGGCATGTTCAAAGACACAACAAAAGCCACTGAGATTGCCTGCCCAGAGCTGCAGGAAGGAAACGGAGTAGGTTGCAACAAATCCTACTTAAGCGCATTAATTTTAGGGCACAACTGCTTTGCAGATTCCAATGTTTAAAACCAGCTTTCAACTAAAAGCTCAGACTCTTACAGAATTCACTATCAGCATAAGCAGTGTTCCAGCAGGAGACATTCAAATAATTCTATGCCCACATGGACATGACTCATTCTCTGTCTGTGCTTCATCAATATTATTTGCTGAGTGTCTTCTAATCAGGAACTTGCCTGGCAGCCTGTGGAAAGTAGCAATAGCCTACAAGCAACCAGGCAAAGCCCCATGTCAAATTCTCTGTCTCCTACCAGGAGAATAAAGTCCAATGTTCAGCCACCACAATGTTGCCCTGTTTCCCCCAATATGCAAATACAGCATATCAATACTAGCAACAGCACAATTCCATATGCTATATATCTGTCAACAACACGATTGTTGGATTTGTCTTCTCTGACTGAAATAAGGAAAGGGAGAACAGGATGTGCACTGAGAGTAGCAGAGCCACATTATCCACTGTGATTCCATAGCTGGGTAGACACAGAAGAGGACTGTGGCTGCTGTCCTAACACAGAGAGAAAAGGGGAAAGGAAAAATCCTATTCTGATGCTTTAAATTGATTCAATCAAACAAAACAGTGATATATCAAAGCAGTTAAGAGGGTAGCAGTTAATAGTATGTGTTGATGCATTTATTACTTACATTGGCAATGCATGGCTCAATGGTCTGGACCGTCCTTTTCAACAGGACTTTTGAAAGATCAAATGCCTGTTTATTAAGGTTCTAGAATACAGAGGGGGAAAATTAAGAGGAAAAAATCCAGCTATTTGTTAGTGAGCAGCATAAAATAGTATTATTCATTCTACAGAAATGGATCAGTTTGAGCAGAAAATAAACCAAAGGTTCTAAAAACTTCCTCTTATACGAATGTCCTATACATACTTCTAATTAGCTAAAATATGTCACTTAAAGTTTTATATAGCAACTTATCTTTAAAGCAAAACATTTTAAATGTGAAAGGCACTATATAATGAGCATATAGCTCATAATATTAATCTTATTAAGGTTAATATTTGCCTTGATGCCGAAATAAAAAATACATAAATGACTGGTGTAAGGGAGAACAGATATATATCCCATATAAAGCAAGGCAGGGGTTCTGTTGGTACAAATTCTTTCTCCCAGAATGGAGTGATCCTCACATTCACATACACCTTCACTTCCCCTGCCCCGCTTTTTTTTTATATACTCAAAATAGTCTTAAATCCATTATCTGAACATTCAATTAGAGAACAATATTACACATTTTCTAATTCATATCTTTGAATTGAAGCAATTGTTTTATCTAGTCTGGCAACCCTATTGATTCACAAGTTGTCAAGTGCACACACCCAAGATTAAAACATGGCAAATTTCTAGGACAGCTGTTTCCAAGCCGCCCACTAGATGTTGTGAACTACATCTCCCACCATCCCAGTTTAATTGGGCATGATAGGAAGGTGATGGGAATTGCAGTCCAAACCATCTGGAGGGCACTAGGTTGGAGAAAACTGCCTTCTTCTTTACCTAGCTTCCCATTTAATGACTTCCCCTGTTCTGTTCCCATGAAGCCAAGCAGTACCCAGCACCTAACCTAAACTGAATCTTGAACAGATTTGTTGGGTCGCAGGAGAAATGTTGTATGCAGCCTACAGGAAGAAAAGCAGAGGGCAGACATACCTTGGGCTTCTCCAAATCAGCACACTATAATTGCTCAGCCCCAGCATCTCTCCTATGAATCAACTGAGTACCTCTACATCCAGAATTGAGGAAGCAGCAACAAGGTATATGCACAGAGGGAACAAGGAAAGACAAAGGAGGGAGGGAACAAGCAACTTTTGCAGTTCTCTGGACAAAACATTGAAATGGACACAGAAGTAAAGCTATGCTACTGAAGCACGAGTGGGGAGAGGGTTGTTGTTGTTTTTTACTTTGCAAACCTTGTGGGCAGGGATGAGGTTGATAAGAATTGAGTCCAATAGTTCTTGAGTAACTCCATCTCCTTCCATGATGATAGAACTCATCAAATCTAGCATGTGCATTTGTACTTTCTGGTTGTGGCTATTGCTAAATATAACATCAAAATTAGAATACATTGATTTAGCAGGACCAATATAACCAACTAATAACAGATCCTTGTTACTAAATGACACAATTAAATCTCACATCCTTTAACATATATCTGTTAATAAAAGCAATTAGGTCATTGTAACTGACATTTTCCTCTTGAGTCACAATTGGTCACATGATGACCTCTCCCTGACCAATATACCATGCTGGGAAGTATCTTGGATGGAGATTACACCACACTAATTATTCCTCGGTTTATTCCCTTAAATCACACTGCCTCAATACAGCTTTGTATACTTTAACAGTCTTGTCTCCTTTAATGGCAACATTAATTCATTATCTAAATCTTATTTTTATAATGAGGTGAGGAGGGTATCTATTACAAGAGTTCCTGAGGGAGTGTTGTGCTAGTTTGCGCATAGAAACACAAACTCCCAATGGACTCCCAGTCAATTCAGAATGAGACTACCCAGTGTCAGGGTGATGGTCAGGTTTTGCTCCCAATGAAACAATGCCTCCAATTGTAGCATTCCACTAGATTGACAGAAGTAGGCCCCAAGAGTACTTTGACACAGAACCCGCACACGCTGCCTTGTTGTGCAGAGGAGAGGGGGAGTGAGCCCAAAATTTGACACCCCTTACCCAGCCCTCCTGCTACCTTCCCAAAGCTGGCTAAGCAAGGCACCAGGCTTTGAGAAGGAGGTGTGAGACTCAGGCATGGTCCTAGACCTAGAGCATTCACACCTCCTTCCCAAAGCTGGGAATGTGCTAACTAGACTTTGGGGAGAAGGTGGGTGGATTATAGGACCCTGCCAGAGCCCTCACACTTCCTTTTTTTTTTTTATAAAATTTTTATTAGGAGCCCTCACACTTCCTTCCCAAAGTGCAGCACCTCCTTTCCTGGCTCTGGGAAGGTTGGGGGGGGGGGTCAAGTGTTGTTGAGGGCCGCCAAAAAAGCACTGAGGGCCCCACATGTTATGACTGTCCTGGAATAGAGGAACTAAAATTGTCCCCAGTTCTGTGGGAAAGTAAATTTTGCCACTCCTCCAACTGTCTTGCCATTTAGAGCTAGGGTCTTTTGTCCCACAAAATTTAATGGGAAAGATAATGAACAAAGCCCTCTCCAGTTCTCATTAATGATCACATTAGACTCGTTGTAGAACTCTGAAAACTAGCATTTCTCTCTCTATATATATACACACACACACACACACACGCACACACACACACTCTCAACATAAATATAGCTATGGGTGACAAGGTACAGTTCTCAGCTATATAACTATAGCAGAACATAGAAAAACTGCAACTCCTAAGGTACCTTTTTTAGTGTTGCCAATATTGATTTATAATATAAAATTGTAATAAATCTTAATCAAGTAATATTTCTTTCCTGGATCACTAAAACTTTAGACAATCCTGGAATACATAAACCGCAATTATATTATTATTTCAACATGTTAAAGTTTTTAAGTTGCATGCAAGGATTGCACAAGAGGTCAAAGTAATCCAACTTACTTGATAACTGAAAAGAGTGTCCTAAAAAGCTGGATAAAAATTTCATTGCAATCTTCCAACTCAAAGCAGATGTTGTAAGATTTAACCCAAGCTAAATTCTATAACAAAAACAAAGCATTAAATTACAGTTTTGATCTGAACTGTGTATACGCAAATGTTGATAATATACATTAAAATTTCAAAGTAGTCTGCCAGTATGATCAACTAAGCAGTTCTGTTAATTAATTAAAAGGCCAAAACCCTAATTTCTAAAGTCAGGAAACATGGATTTATCCATTTATGTAATCTTTTGCTCTAATAATATCCAGATAGCTTCACAGGTTGACATATCTGGATGCCATCAATATAAATCTAGGATCAGAGCCCGAAGTTTGGTTTCTGTAACAAGCATATACACTATTAAACTGCAACTTTCACAAGTCAAAATTCCTTTGACCACAAGGAATTAACATGTGTAAATAAAGTATAGGAAAAAGTTACCTCTAGTAAGTAGAAGTATCTGTTAAATTGGGGGCTCTTTGTATCCTCCAATCCTTTTAACTGTCTTGTAATAAACAAGAATATATCCTGCAAAACAAAAAGGAAGTGAATGTTTTACAGATGTACTCTGATATGTTAACATTGCTAACTGTATAGTTTAAGTTCTTTATATTATAAATATTATACTCGCTATTGGGGAAGTTTCATAAAGGCCTTGTTCATACTAACAATGGTTTCAACAAGAATAAGCCCCAACAAGCCTTTCACACTTCTCCAACACAGACATGCTCATGGCTTCCACTTCCACTTTTTATTAACCACAGGTTGTCAATATATGTGAACCCGAACAAATGGTGACTAATCTTAACTATGGTTTGCACTAACAAGCTAAATACAAATGATGGGTTACAAATGATGGCTTGTTTCTATAAATCATAGTTAAGATTAACCAGTTTAGGGTGAATCAGAACAGTAGTGAAAGTTTTTGAATTCTTTTGTGCAAATGCACTAGAGAGGGGCAAGCATGCCAACCTGAGACTTATTGCAGTATGATCTCATAATGAGAAACCATATTTTTATCATTACGTCCAAAGGAGGCTAACGTCTCAGTCTTTGGTGCAGTGAGACAACCCATGAATTTCCTGAATATACAACTGAAATGGGTTGAGATTATTCGCAAAGTTTACCTTGAGTTTGTCATGGGAAGTATATGGTGCTTCTGGGGCATAAATTCGAAAGATATCAGCCAAGCAACATGCTACAAGGAGACGGACATCTTTATTGGGATTCCTGAGGAAGAATTCTGATGCAAGGTGCAAGGCTAACGGGAGATATTGTTGTTTCTCATCTTCTGAATCCTGGTCCATGTCCATAAACGTTTTCACTACCATCTAGGAGTAAAAATATGAACACTTCTAATTTTCATTAAGCATTGCTCTCTCCAACTTCTACTGCAATCAACAATTTATTCAACATATTGACACTACAAGTTTATATAACATACACCAATTCAGTATTTGTTAAGCTTCTTTTATTTACTATTATTTACTGTTATTCGTTACACAGGGTAGGCCTGAAGTATGCACAAAATCTGCAGTACAAAAAAACTCACATGAAAAACCCAAGTGGAGACCCCAAAAATAGTCTAATAGTAACGGAGGGAGGAAACTGACAACTGGATGGAAGGGAATAGAATGCATGGCTGGAACAAGACAGAAAATCGTAGACAAAGGGTAGACAGAACCATCTCATTGTCTTGATAGTTCACACTTTCTGATTCACACTGAGATGCTACTTTGAAATGTCCTCAGAGATGGAAGAAAGCTACCTACAGATATCAACTGAAAAATAAAGAATTTACTAGAGCTGGTACTAAACACAAGAGTGTCCATCTCAACCTTACAAACACACAAGCAAACATATCCCAAAACTGCCTGATTAGGAGGACCGAGTATGCTTAGTAAGCATGAAATGTTGACTGATTGTTGCGGGAGGAGGGATAGAATTAGGTGGCTGGGACCTTGAACAACAACTCTTCACAGTACAATATTTTGTTGCAGAGCCCTACTTGTAAATACTAATTTATGGAGTTTGTTGAACTTTCAAGTTATTGTTCTGATTTCTAGAGGAAAAGAAATGTTAAATACCAATGGGTTAATGATCCTTTAATTCTGATTCATCTAGATGACTAGGAAGAGTCCTATCAGAAAAACTACAACAACTGCACAACAAGGCCACAATAGCAGTATTTCTCTCATGCACAGTCTACTTGACTATCCTTCCCCTATGTCTTAATTGAGATTAGCAGATTTTCTAAAGAATTAACTGTTGAATAACTGCACTAAATAACACTGGTAAATTACTTTTTTGTAACTTGAATTCAATAAAGTAGATACTGATTGTTGAACTATGTAATTATTTAATTTCTACTAAAAAATATTTTACAAGACATTTGTGCTTTCTGTAAACCAGGATATCAAGGTTCTGTGGGGGGAAACACCCACCTACACAAAAACACAAGCCAAATACATACAAAAAAACCACTAACTTCTCCCTCATGTTGCACTATTAGGAATTTGGGAATACAGTACAAACATTATAAGTAAGCACTAGTAGATCACTAGATTACAATTTGTAATGTTATCAAGACATGCAACAGGATTAGTTAATATTTCTTTTACAAAACAGCATGTACTCATTAAGCAATAAGCACATGCCTGTTTAGAATGTGTTACAAAGACAACTCAAACAGATACGTTTTGAATATCTGGACACTTTGTTAATTATTTCTCCCCTTTAATAATGTTTGCTCTCTACAATGTCCACCCCCATTATACACGATCCAAGTGATTATTTTAACTGAGCAACAATTGTGTGTAAAGCAATCTAACACGGCCTCATAATTTGCTATTCACCTGCTAGCTTGGAACGAACAGCCAAATGGCAAACAGCCCAAGCAACATGTGTGCCACTCACAAATATTATGCCAAGTTCACGTTTGCAGGTGATGTGTGCAAGTGCTACAAATATCAGCTACCATGTCAGGTTGTACATATGTCTCAATCATAATTTCCCCGAAGAACTACTAATTCTTGAAAGCAGAATTAAGTTGGAGCGCACATCAACAGTTTAGTCTGGAAGTAACCAGTTTGCTTCAATTCACTACAACGCTCAGCTTCTGAACTTGAAAAACTGAAAGAAAGAAGTATGCCAAATTTCAATAGCCAAGATATGGTTACCCAATTTGGCACAATGGCTCTTGAGATTAAGAAGCAGGATTTTATATGCTTGGATACCACAGGACCCCATTTTGAATCAAGATGACGGATCAAATTTTTCAAAACTTTTTCAAATCTACACTGATTCTCAGCGAGAGTTACTGTTGGCTTCTCAGATTCCCAACCCATACCAGGCACTCTCCCCCCCCCCCATGCCTTTATTTGAATATTACTAACTTCAGAAGGACGCGGGTGGTGCTGTGGTCTAAACCACTGAGCCTTGGGCTTGCCGATTGGAAGGTCGGGGGTTTGTATCCCCATGATGGGGTGAGCTCCTGTTGCTTGGTCCTAGCTCCTGCTAACCTAGCAGTTCGAAAGCAAGCCAAAGTGCAAGTAGATAAATAGGCATCGCTCCGACAGGAAGGTAAACGGTGTTTCCGTGCGCTGCTCTGGTTTGGCCAGAAGCGGCTTAGTCATGCTGGCCACATAACCTGGAAAAACTGTCTGCGGACAAACATCAGCTCCCTCGACCAGTAAAGCGAGATGAGAGCCGCAACCCCAGAGTCGTTCGTGACTGGACTTAACTGTCAGGCGTCCTTTACCTTTTAACTTCAGAAAGGCTACATTGGGCACCCTCCAAAAGGCCCCTTCCCCTGGAAATTATATTAAGGTTCCATTTCAGTTTCTACTGGGGGGAGGGCAGATAGAATCACTAAACATTGTGGCAAAATGAAACTTTGATCCAATCTACTGGCAATTTGATTTAGTTTAACTTTGTAATTCCTGGTAAACATCTACATATTTCCCCACAAGGGACATCTCAGTCATCAGACTTTATGTTGACTAGCCACTGGGCTGAGATCCCTTGTGATTTCACTGCAACTCAGTGGTGAGGAAATTGAACAGTAATTAATGACAGTTCACAGCTCACAACCTTTCTCCTTTGTAATTTAATGCCTCTTCTGTCTAGCCATATTCATAATGAGTGTTTGAAATTAGCCAGCCGCATTTTGCACCTGGCTTTAAACAACTTGTGACCAAGTGATGATTCCTGGGTACCTGGATGGCACTTGACGTCTCCACCATCAGGAGGTGCATGTCTGGAGTCATTGTATCTGGGCTGTTTTCACACATCAATACCCCTTCCTGTAGAATTCTATCAGTTATATTTTATCTGCACAATCTGAATGAATATTTGGAACCAAAATGCTTTTTCTGTGCAGCCTGAGCAGGAGCAGTCACCATCCAGAAAAAGAGGTAGGAAAAGGCCAAGATATATGTGGATTGTCCCTGGATCAAATGACTTTTCAAGTTCTCAAAGCTCTTAACCTAGCTCACGGTTGTCATCTGAACTAGCCAGATGCTTAACTGAGAATCAATCACGCTGGTCCATCATTTGAAAAATAAGATTTTAGAGCTGTCTTGCCCCAAAATGGCAACTAGACATTCCCTTTTGGTGACCGTAAAGAGCCATTTGGTGACTGTAAAGAGCCACTGGGGCCTAGCTTATATATCTGAGTTTCTAACAATGAAAACGAGATCACCCTTTTTCAGGAAGTATATTCCTATACCTGAGTAAAGGTATATATTTGCATTAAATATAGCAAAAGTAGTATTTAAATTATGTTCCGTGAGAAGTCTGGTGCTCTGGGAGAAGAAAATACATTGTACACCAACTATTTAGGGAGAACAACCTATTTCAAGCAACATTGCCTTCTGATATTATTTTGAAATAGGACTGGACTGCTCTCATTGCTCGGAACAAAACCAAAACAGATATAGTTCTGGGGCATGTGCAAATTTCCAATTCAAAGGAGATTCTTGGTAATGAAACCCGCAAAGTTCCTCAAATTAATTTAAGCCATCAATTAAAAGAAAATCCTATATGTAAATACTGTGTATACATTTTTCACATATTGGAAGTATGTAAGCTAACAATGAATCTAGATGAATGAATCTAATTTAAAAAAACTAACGGTTGTATCCAATGCTGTGCCAGCATGGTTCCACATGGAACTTTTGTTTCCTCTCCACCCCCAGGCACCCCCTACATCTTCTCCAGAGGGCCCCCAAACCCTTAGGAACAGACTTTGAGAGCAAGCAAGAGGCTGGACTGGACTAGGACAGAAAGTGGAAGCTGTGTTGCACAGAAATATGTTGCATCAGTAGGGCTGCAGTGTTACACATGATCCTAAAGCTTGCATGGATAAAACTTTGTACTGTTTTCCAAAAAAACAAAAAAAAAACACCACCCCTGCATACTGGTGTTCAGACAGGTCATGCTCAGGAAAGGAGAACACACTGTCCTATCACATATGGGCACACACTGTCCTATCACATATGGGCAGAAGAGGAGATCCATTATGAAGACTTTCTATTCTATTTGAAAGTTTAATTGCTGTTGGCACTCATAAATGGTTTGGTAAGACTACTCTTACGTTTTTTTCATAATCAAGGACACAATGGTTATGAAATTAATAGAAATAAATCAGCAGTAAGAAGTAATTAAGTAGGTAAAATACTTAGTGATTCATTTTTGGATGGGCACGAGACAAGTGATGTGCTAGCATGTACTGTACTTGAGCCATTACAGTAAGACTAAATGGGGCACTCTGTAGTGCTAAAAATATCTTCCTCCAAATCCCAAGGGAAACCAGAAGACGAAGGATACGAAGAAAGTATTTTGAATACACACTTCACATCCAAAAACAGAGAAAAGTGGGTGCCTACCCATTTGATATCAGGAACTATTCTGCCACTTTATCTTGCGGGGTGGTAAGCCCAACTCTGAGGAGTTTCACTTCAGAGTGTAGATGTGGCCTCCCTGAATGCTGCATGCCATGCAGAAGGCTAAGCTAGAAATCTTTTCCATTACACAAAGCTCCCTGTACATAGAAGCCTAAATGTGTCCAGAAGCATTCAGTCATGAGAGCACCCACTTGTAGTCTGAAGTGGTACTGGTTTACCACTTTAGTAAGAAGCGGGCCTTAAGCTCAAACAACTTTTTACTGCAGAGATTTACTACAATAAGCAGCAGCTGGGTCCTGTAGAGCAAAGACTCCTGGGTACCTGTGAGGAGGGACAGCACCAAAGGTTCTACATATAAAGGACACACCAAAGTCTGTAAGTGACACAATTTCAATTTAAGAACTAATTTATCCAAAGCAAAACAT